AAATTGAAACATACCCACTCACTGTATATATAAAGAAGCGGGATTTACACACTCTCATTAAATTTTAAATATAAAATATAAACAAACTGCAAAGACATAGGATAAAGTCCTAGTCAATAGAAAATGAGAACCAAATTGTGGATATGTGTGATAGGGTGTGTATTATTTTTTGACAACAGATTTATAGAAGAACGAATTAGTGATTGGGTTTAGGGAATTTTTTGATGGGTGATTCAAAGGAGAGACGATCTAGTGGAGATTTTCGTTTGGAATATTAAAGGACACGATATTAGGGATTTTGTGATTAATTTAACATGTTAAAGGCATGTTTATTGCAACATAATTTAAAAGCGCGTTTGTTGTAGTAAAATTAACTAAGTAATGAATGTGACGTATGATATGATTAGTGTTTTACATGTCTATTTTACTATGTAAAAACAATATTTATTGTCTAGAAAGTTGTATAGTATATTTTAGGGAAAATTGCAGCTAAGGTATCAAATCTTTTGTTTATTAGCATATTTGACCCAAACATTTCACTTATGCCATCGGAGGTACTAAACATTTAAAAAATTCACGGTCCAATCCAAAATGATGGTTTCCGTCTATTTGGCCGCCAAAACTATTAGTTGACCCCAGTAATGATATTTTTAAGAATTTCCTTCAAATAAGTGAAGGGAAATTTAGACATTACACATTTTTTCTCCTTTTATTGCACTTCACTGTTCATTTCCCTCCATTTTCACTACTATAATACCTTCTGTCCCAGAGGTAGTAAAAAAAAAAAAAGTGGTGAGTTTGGAGATTGTGTTCCAGAGGTTTCCAAATGTGAGAGCAGTGGAGTCGAAGGGAAAGCCGCATTATGCCGACTTCAATCTAGTGTCGAAAGGATGGGGTGGATGTGTACCCTTGGGTTGTTTCCTTGGATGGGGCTTACCCATGGCTTGAGGAAATCAAGATGAAGAGGATGGTGGTGATTGATGGGAGCTTGGAGCTGATATCCAAGTCATTTAAGAATTTTAAAGTGCTGGTGCTCGTCTTGTGAAGGTTTCACTACTGACGGACACGCATATGTTTTACTGCCAATTGCAGGTAGAAAACATAGATTCAAATTTGGTGTATAATAAATACGATTGTCAACTTCTTTAGTCAGGAAGGGATCCTATGGAAATGATGAAGAAACTTTTGTTAATTTTCGAAGTAAATCTTGAAGGAAAAGGAAAGTCTGTATTTTTTAGCCGGCGAGAATGAGGTAGAGTCAAGATTAAATTTTAAGGATACTACTATTTTTATTTTTTGTTTTCTTGGCTAAAGAAAAATATACAATAAAAGGGGAGCTTGAATCTATACTATTTATATTGATTACCTGATGGAGAAAGTAAGTATATCACTCTTACATTACTGATTTTTTGTTTATGAGCTTGATACTAGATCGCAAATAATATTTGAAAGATTTTCCCTAAACTTGGGGAACGTATTAAGAACGATGTGGTACGATTCCTACTCTTCAGGTTAAAATTATGGGTTAAACACTAAGTTTAGATTTTTCAAATACAATTTGAAAACCTGATGAGAACACAACATACTTGGGAGAGATGGTATTATAGTGGTGAAAATGGAGGGATATAAACGGTGAAGAGCAATAATATGAAAGAAAATGTGTAATACCAAGATTGTCATTCACTTATTTGGGGGAAATTCTTAAAAATATCATTACTAGGGTCTATTAACTGTTTTGGTGGTCAAACAGACGGAAATCGTCATTTTGGACTGGACCTACAAATTTTTTAAATGTTCGGTACCTCCGGTGGCACAAGCGAAATGTTTGGGTTAAGTCTGTTAAAAAACGAAAATTTTGGTACCTCGATTGCAATTTTTTCTATATTTTAAATATTTATTAAAAAAATAGGTGTGCGACATAATTTCATCTATTTCTTATGTCTTCTGACTTTTTTGGGCCCATTTAACTTTTTGTGTAATGTAATGGTTGTTAAATTAGGGGAAAAAAAAAACTTAAATTACTCTTAGACTTATTAATAATTTTTTTCAAAAAGTTTATATTTATATAGTAATTTATATTTTAAATAGCATATATTCAAATAAAATTTTATTTAAATAATTAATTTAATTTTGGGTCGAAACCAGTTTAATTTCAATTCGATCATTTGATCATTGACACTCTAATTTTCCTGGGTCAATATTAGGTCAGATTTTCAAAATATTAGGACAAATAATGGATTGGACCCTTTGTCAATGTAACTCTATATTTGGAATATTTGTATTAAAACCACAATTTCTTAACATATGTTTTCGAGGACAGAGGATTTGGTTCCTCAAAATTATTAGATTCTTGGAATTTTTTTGACAAGAACTATAAAAGAATTTGCACAAACTATCTACTGTTCATACTATATCTTTGGACTTACTTGTATTGTCGATTTTATATCTTGCAAGTATACGAAACATAGCAAATAATAAAGTGAATCAATAAATCAGTAATTAGTTCCATTTATTGATCGCAGTAATTAGCATGGATATCTCTACACGTTATACTAATTTACCGAATTTTACTATATAGTCCAAATCTCAAACTCACTCCTCAATTCGTAAAAGATTCACAAAATCATCAAATTAGTGATCAACTAATTCAACTCGTTAATCTCATTGCAAACTCAACACATATATGATAAAATAACAAGAATCTTGAATAAAAGAAATAAAAGGTTGCAAATAGATTTCATTGTTCGCCCTAATATGAAAACTATTCATAATGAAAAAGGTCAAATAAGACGTTGACATTGAATACATCTTCCAATTTGGAATAAAGATATAGAAAATGAGATTAATCTTGCATCAAAATCTTCTTCCTCTTCCAATCAATGCTTCAAAACTTGAATTTCTTGATATTTTATCCCTTGAATTGCGCTCTTTAGTCTCTAGCTCTACTCTCTCTCTCTCTCTCTCTCTCTCTCTCTCTCTCTCTCTCAAAATATGTGGAACTCCCGTAAAAAAATGCCAACAACTTGTATTTATACTCTTTTCCTCGTTTTGTCGAAAATAGGGTTTCTTGTGAGAATGGGCCGAAAAACGTAACCCTGGCGTCTTCAAGCGTCGCCACCGTGCCACATTGAAATCTCCAATGGCGCCACAACACTTGGTGTGTGGCACCGCGGTGCCACGCCTCTGATCCTCTTTCTAGTGGTGCCTAGGCACCACTACGTTGGGGCCGAGGCGCCACTCTTTCTTTCTTGACATCTTGGTTGGACTCTTTTGCCCCCCTTTCGTTCCTCTTTTCTCCTCGATCTATGCCAATAGCTTTGTTTTATCATTTATTTCTTTAATTTACACCATCTCACCATCTTCACAAAACCACACTAATAAACACGTTAAAAACGTTGACTACTCATAAAATCTAACTCATAATCAAGTTAAAAATGGAATAAACCTTATGAATAAAACATACTCATCAAACTTGCATGTTCCCCATGTGAATACCAAAGAACAGGTTGAAGCTCATTTGCATTTGAGACGGGAAAACACAATAACGTATGGTTGGGTTTAAAAATAAGTTAAACTTATAACCAATTTTTAAATTTCATATTTCATTAATATTGTTAGTTTTACTTGTAGTCTCTGATAAAATTAGGGTTGGA